TGTTCTCCATGTCCAAGGACACATGGGAGCCTGTTGCCAAGGTGGCCACTTGGCCAAGCAGAGAGCTGAGTTGCTGGTCTCTGGGTCCCGGGGCACATGGTGAGCCTCCTATGTGTCTGCTTGTCCTAGCCCAGATCTCATTTCTTGGGCTCAAGGTCCAAGGGTATACGTTTAGCCTACTACCACGGTACCTGCTTAAGCCACCAGACAGCTCAGTTTTTGGTCTCCAGGTCCAAGGGTACTTGGTGAGCCTTTTGTCAAGGTGCCCCCTTGGCCAGGCAAAGAGCTGAGTTGTTGGTCTCAAGGTCCTAGGGCACATGTAAGTCATAGGTCTAAGTGTCTGCTTGGCTTAGCTCAGAGCTCCTTGGTTGGTGTCCAGGTCCACAGGCACATGGTGAGCCAGCTGTGCAGGTGCCAGCTTGGCCTAGTAGAGACCTGATTTTGTGGTTTCCAGGTCCATGGGCCCATGGTGAGGCATCTGTGAAGTCACCTGCTTGGCTTATCACAGAGCTGCATTTTTGATCTCCAGGTCCAAGGACACATGGTTAGCCCCCTGTCAACAGGCATGCTTAGCCCATCAGACTGCTCAGTTGGTGTCCAGGTCCAAGAGTACATGTTGGACCTGCAGTCCAGGTGCCTGTTTGGTGTAATAGAGAGCACATTGGTTATTCTCCATGTCCTAGGGAACATGGGGACCTGGCTCTCCAGGTGCCTACTTGGCCTCACAGACCTCAGTTGTTGGTCTCCTGACCCAAGGGCATGTGATGAGTGGGCTGTCCAGGTGCCTGCTTGGACTAGTGAAAAGCTGAGTTTTTGTACAATGGGTACCAAGGCCCATGTTAATGCTTTTGTTGAGCTGAATCATTTTCTGATACAGAGCTGGGATGCATGACTCCTGGTTTCTTTGCACCTGTCAAGCCCGTTCTCTGAGCTTACTTGCCTTGTACTCCACTGGGCTGGCCAACATGAGGTATGGAGGCTCCTTACCCACCCAGTGTCTATGTGACTCATCTGCCCAGTGTGAAATGGGATCAGAAGCCTCCCAGTCTTTGGGTTCCTGGCAGGTACTCTGTTCTGAGGGTTGAATTTCTCTTTGTTAGGCCTTGTTTGAGGATTGATGGTTTGTGGCCTCCAGGTTAGCCAGCTTTCTGGGGAATTATTTTGTTTGCTGCTGAGCTGTTTCAGACAGTCCATGGACTGAAGGCCATTGTTCCAATGACTAACACTGCATACAGAGATGTGGTGATTCCTTTTCCCAGTACCTACTCATTTCGTAAAATTCCCTCTGCCTGGTGTCTCCAGACATTCCACACATTGTGCACATCTGGGTCGGCTGGACGTTCAGAGCACTTGTGTGCCCTGTGCTGAGGGAGGTTGGAGGGCTCCAGAGTAGTAGTGTGCCCAGTGTTCCCTCAGGACCTGGACTCAGCTTTCCTGTACTGAAGACACCTGTGACCCCAGAGGTGAGGGGCCCAGCTGGCTGAGAATCCATGGAACTCTGGTAGCCAGTGTCCCACTCCCACGTGCCAAGTGACAATGTCTCCCTGAGGACCTGGGCCGGCCTCCTAGTGTGAAATGGGTCTAGGAGTCACCGTGTACTGATTCGAGGACTCTCCAGACCACAGAGGGGCACAAACGTTGATGCCAACATGGTGGTGTGAAGCATATTGCAGAGAGGCCCAGGGCAGGAGGAGTGGGCAGGGGGCTTTCCATGGGCAGGGGCAGCAAACAGGGCAGAGAAGTCGAGGAAGAGCAGGAAGAGCTGTGAGTGAACTGCCATCTCTCTCCTCACTGCAGCCTGGGCTGTTGCCAAGCTTTTATAACCGCCCCAGGACATCACAATGCCTCCTTCATGTGATGTCACCACCATGTGTTGTCACCACTATGCGCTGGCCAATCACCAGGGATTTCTCAGGCTGGCCTCATTCTGGTGACCAACCACCAGGCAGGTCAGCTGGCCAATTACTGGTGGCTTTCTCAGTGACACCGCTAACTGATATCATCACCTGGAAACCATGTTTTAAAGGAAAAGAGGTAAATAGCCCTTCAAGAAGAAAATATTTGGGTTGTATTTATACTGATGGTCATAGTGAGGCTGAAAGACTCAACCACTACAAAGGTAAATGTGCCACACAGAGACACCATTAATTAGAAAACTGACATGGATATTAATGAAGTCACGGAGCATTAGACCCCATGAAAGGTCACAATTGTATGTAAGTCAGACAACCTGGCCATAGAGAAAATGCTAGAGTCAGGTCCTCCATCACATCTTAAATAGTGAGTGGAGAAAATGGTAGGCATTATGTTTAGTACATTTTCCCACAATAAATGTCAACCTGGAAGGGATGAAGCTGTGTCACGAGTAAGTATCTGCTTGCCAATAGCATAGTGGCACTCAGCTCTCATAGATGGGGGATGACAAAATCCATCCTGTCACCAGGTTCATAGATTTCATGTCCAGAATCCAATCAGAAAATTCTGGGGGGAAGAATTAAATTGTTCTTCTCCCTCAAATACAACTACATACTTATCAATTCAATCTGAACACTCAGGAAATCAATCAAAGTTGTGATCATATAAATGCTGCAAGGCTACAAGTAGAAAAATGACCTCCATTCGGAAGGCAGGAGGATGGAGACTTGAATCTGGTGTGGTATAGCTGACGATACCATGGAGGGGAGGGAGTCTGTTTTAGGAATATACTACAAAGTATTATAAACAGCTGGGTGCAAAAGCAGAACTTTTCAAAGTTTGGATAAAGAAAATGTGGTACATAGATACAATGGAATATTACCCAGTGACAAAAAAAAAAAAACAAACAAAAAAAAAAACCAACAAAACAAAACAACTGAAATCTTGTCACTTGTAAGGATGAGGATGGAACTAGAGGGTATAATGCTAAGGAAAAGAAGTCAGTCACAGAAAGCCAAAAGCCAAATGATTTCTATCATTAGCATAATATAATATAAGAAACAAAACAAATGAACATAGGAGAAGGGAAGAAAAAATAAAACCAGATGCATATAGAGAGGGAGGCAAACCGTTAGAGACTCAACACTAGGGAACAAACAGGGTTGCTGGAGTGGAGGTAGCTGGGACATGGGGTAACTAGGTGGTGGGCATTACCATGAAATGAGCACTAGGTATTATACGCAACTGATGTATCACTAAATTGTACCCCTGAAACTTAAAAAAAAAAAAAATGTTTTCAGGGGCATTACATAGCTCTTCCCCACCAACTCATAAGAAGTTCCCACAAATTACTTGTTAAAGAGTGAGCTGCCAGAGGGAGCCATCTCATCCCTCTGCAGATACACAGGCTGTAGAACTCAGAGGAGAGAGAATATGAACAGAGAGGTACTCTCAAAAAATGGGAGCAGATGGTCTACCCTGTGGACCATGAAGGGAAGAAGAGCATGAGGCCTGGGACTGAGCACCAACCAAAAGGGAACACAGGAAAAAGGTGGCAACAGATGCTGAAACAAATCTGCAAAGAAATGAACTAGAAGTAAATTACCACAGAAGTTAAGAGTGGGGCCTCCCCAAGAGACCAGTTACCTTTCGCCCCTAGACTGGAGGAGTGAGGATAATTCCAGCTGGATTGCCTTTAGGTTTCTGTCCCTCTCAGACAAACCCATTCCTGTTATCTATGTATACTTTCTGACTCATTAATTTTGTTAGAAGTGTAGTTGACACACAATATTTTGTTAACATCAGGTGAAAATTATAATGCTTGGACAAGTTTTTAACCGTATAATGAGCACAAATGTAGCTACCATCCATCACCGGAGACACTATTCCAATACAATTGACCATATTCCCTATGCTGTGCCTTTCATCCTTGTGACTTATTCAACCCACAATGGGAAGACTGTATCTCCTACACCCCTTCACCTATTTCTTCCATGCCCCCCTCACCTTCCTTCTGAGAACCATCTCTTTGTTATTTATATTGACATTCTGATTCTGCTTTTTGTTTGCTTGTTTATTCATTTGTATTGCTTTTCAGAATCCAGGCAGGAGTGAAATCCTCTAGTGTTTGTGCCTTCATGTATTACCTATTTCACTTTCGTGTATGCTGTCTGGGTCCTTCCATGCTCCAAAGGACAAAAATCCCATCCTTTCCAAAGGCTGAGTAATTTTCCATTTCTTCTAGGTTGCTTAACGTATTGGCATATAGTTGCTGATCATAATTTCTGATGATTGTTTCCATTTCCTTGGTGTGAGTCGTGATCGCTCCCCTTTCATTCATATTGATAATATTCTTAAGAATGATGCCTGGGTGGGCCATGAATAAAAAGGGTCAAGGATCTACTCAGAAAGTAAAATTTTAGGGAATAGAGTACATGTGTGGGGACAAGTGTCGCATAATAGGAGAATACACATAAAAACTGTAAAGTGGCTCTGCCCATAGCATCAAGCAATAAAAACATCACTTGGCCAGTGGCCCAAGAAGGGTCTGATTGAGTTTGTGACAGTGTCCCCTAGGTCTTGGGGAAGAAGTTTGGGGTCTTGAAGTTGCAGGTGGGCGCATTACACAATATTGGGAAAATATGTCTAGCACAATTTTGGGTTCAATGGACACTAAATATTTAGTCCATGATCTGTAGTCATTCTTTCACAGATTATCCAGTATTGGCTTCAACCAAAAATGACTTTTCTAGTCTTAGAAATACCAAGCGGTGCCTGGTTGACTCAGTCGGTGAAGCATCTGACACTTGGATCCAGCTTATTCAGGATCTGGTGGTAGTGGGATCAAGACCCGAGTTGGGCTCCACGCTCAGCAAAGAGTCTGCTTTAGCTTCTGTCTCCCTCTCCGTCCCACTCTGTTCTCCCAGCTCACACTACTCTTTCTCCCTCAAATAATTAAAATCTTAAAAAAAAATTCCGATGCTCACAAATATGCAGATTTAAACACATCCTCTGATGACTTTGATGAATAACAAGGTAGAGCACCTTTTTTTTTCCCCCAACAGAGAGCAGAATTGTAATTCAAGATGTCAGTAGAAGAGGTAAGATCATATCATCTCAACAACCAAATGTAAACAGGTAAAAGAAGGAATGTATTCAATATGTGTCATGTACACAATGATTGGTTGGTTATAAACAACTTGGTATAAATCCATGTTTATGTTGACCTGAGGATTCTGTCGAAAAGACAGAGCACTGGGAAACAAAAACTGGCCTGATAGTCATTCTCTATCTAACCATTAGATAAACCTAAATCAAACACATTTAAATATGTTTATGAGCCACGTGTTAGCCCATCAAGGGTGAACTTTAGGTGAGACACCTAACACTGAATGGATGCTTTGATTTTTTTTGAGACCTATTACCTGAGCCACAGAGAATGTGACCTTGTGAGTTACACTGGTGAGCAAGCTTTACCTGATAGGATATTAAGTTCAGTGACCAAAGAGGTAACTTAAATTTGCTACACACACCAATCATTACTTAAGTCAGAGATCTTCACTATTCCTTGTGGGAATGAAGTTGACACAAAGGAATACAGATTCTGTTGCAGAATCAGGACTCAATGCTTATGGATTGATGGGAGTGGACACCTAAGTCATATTTGGAGTATGAGCTATTGTCTCCTAAGGCAGCTGAGTCACACAACTCAGTAACACACAGCCCTCAGCCTGCCACTATTATTTGTTTACCTGCTGCTGGTGTCATTTTATAAGAGACCACATCAGAAATGAGGGAAATCAGATTTGAGCACAAAATCGTGGCATTTGATGGATATATCATTGCATACTGTTCCAAAGTTTCTGTCAGTACATTATAATGGCAATACATTATTGAAGACTCAATTAAATAAGAGAGAACATCGGCCTCTAAATTTTACAACTATGGTGTTATAGCTAAAATCAAAATAAATTGGCAGCCTTGCCAATTGCATGGTTATTCTCAAGGAAATTGTATTAATGGACATACAAAACATTTCACATGCATTGGTCAACAAGACTCTGTACAATCCGCCCAGCCACAGGACTGCACGTGGGTTGGATTATTCCTTTTCCTTGGGCTGCTGAGAAAAGTGCAAGGGAATGGAATCAGATCCTTCTCACCTGGCAAATACCTAAATCTCCAAAGATACAGCGACTGCCAGATCAAGCTTGAATCTGAAATGCAATTGCTTGCATCAAGATCCAACATCCATACATAAAACTCAGGTGTGATTTGTTTGATCACAATGCCTAACTGAAATGTGAAAAGTGGTCTCATTTGTAATAGTATGAAGCTTGAAATACTGAGGGACAGATCTGACTGAAAATCACAAACTATTTCACAGAGAAATAAATGAAGCCTTAGAAAATGAAGAGAACTTCCATATTTGGGGGTGACAAGATTCAATACTGTTCAAACATCAACTGTCCCCCATTGGATCTCAGCCTGTATCTTTGGTTGAAAGTGACCAGTTGATTTTAAAATTCATATAAAAGTATAAATGACCTTATATGGCCAAACACTTGGGAAAAAACGAACCAAGTTTGAGGGTTAGCTGCATCTGATGTGAAGAACTATTTTGAAGTTATCATAATCAAAACAGATTGGCATTGTTTTGCACAATAGAATCACTTAAGATTTGTTTAAACACCTCATGGAAATTTGGAAATATTTTCCATATTTCAGAATAGAATATGTAATGAACTCCTATCTATCCATCACCCAGTTTAAACAATGATTAAATTGTGAACAAATTTATATCCTCTATACCCCAAGACACTCTCCCCCCCAATTATTTTGAAACAAATTCCAGACATCTTATCAAATATTATTTTATCTGTAAATATTGTAGGATGTATCCGTAGAGTTTTTTCTTTGTTTATTTTAACAATCAGTATTATTATTCTCAGTGAATCTCTTTAAAAAGAGATTCCTGGGCCCTATATCTAAATCAGAATCTGAGAGTTTTTCTTAGGCATATGTAAAAATTTCTGTAATTCTAATGCATCCAGTCAGGCACAGTGCATTGCCTTAAGAACATGGAGATAAAGGTTTTCACTTATGACTCTTCCTTCTGTAATGTGAAAGTCCCTTCGATTGTTTCTCTGTTTACTTGAGTTTATGCTGCTCCTGGTGTCTCATGGTACAGCTTTGAGGACTATTGGGACACCGTATGAAAGGCAGACTACCCTAGCCATTTTCAAAGTAAAGCCCAAATGAATAAGTTAATCTTTTTTTTTAACCCACATTATTTTATTTGTGGATGTTTTTACTTGTTGTTACAGTCCTATCTGCCAAAGTCATTAAACAAATCTGAAGTGGGGATCAGCAAACTTTTTCTGTAAGAGACCATACAGTGAATACTTTAGACCTTGCGGACCATACAGTCTCTGTCACAATTATTCAGTTTTGCTTAGCATGAAAGCAGCTATACATAATATGTAAATGAAAGAGCATGGCTATTTTTCAAAAAACTTTATTTATAAAAGCATCTGTTTCCTGGCCATAGTCTGCCAACTCTTGTTCTAAAAGATGGTAATGAAAAGAAACTAAGTAAGAAGTCCTTTTTTTTTTTTTTTTTTTTTTTGAATCCTACAGACCTTATTTGATATTGGAACCGCTTTTCTAAAAGGAAGCTTTGTTTTTGATCTGATGCTCCTTGAGTCTCCAGAATTTTCATCCCCACTCCTGAAATAATTAGTATATGCCTGGCAGAAGTGAGCAAGTAAGATTTCATAACCACTTCTCAAAAATTAAGACACCAGGGGCACCAGGGTGACTCAGGGGGTTAAGCCTCTGCCTTAGGCTCAGGTCATGATCTCAAGGTAATGGGATGGAGCCCCACATCAGGCTCTCTGCTCAGCAGGGAGCCTGCTTCCTCCCCTCCACACCCCTGCCTGCCTCTCTCCCTACTTGTGATCTCTCTCTGTCAAATAAATATATAAAATCTTACTATTTTTTTTTAAATTAAGAAACTGGGGCACCTGGGTGGCTCAGTGGGTTAAAGCCTGCCTTCAGCTCAGGTCATGATCCAGGGTCCTGGGGTGGAGCCCCATATTTGGCTCTCTGCTCAGCGGGGAGCCTGCTTCCTCCTCTCTGCCTGTCTCTCTGCCTAATTGTGATCTCTTTCAAATAAATAAATAAAATCTTTTTAAAAAATTAAGAAACCAATGATATCATTTTTCTATACTTTTAATGTCCTTTTTGTAACCAATTAGCCAAAATGAAGTTTATGAATTACTTATGAATTCCAGTGTCTCTAACTGGCATTACAACTGATAATTCAGAGCTATTCATATTTACATTTGAAAAATACCTGGCTAACTTTATTGTTTTTTATGGAAGCATACTTTTTCTCATATTGTTTTCTCTTAAGAGAGACTCAGAAGCATATCATAATTGCCTGCCTGTGGGTTAATCTGGTACAGGGAGCAGTAAACTTCTCCCACCTCTTTTTTGAAAGGGAGATCCTCAGGCTCTGAAAAGGTGAGTAATCTATGCAAAATCTAAAGTTAGGCTGTGCTTTGGGCAACCATTGAGCATAAGCCATTTGACCATTTGGTCCTAGATGGGTTATTTCTCTATAGTATATTCAAAATCTGATTCAGTTGCTAACTTCAAGGCTTACTGATCCTTCTCAGAAACCTAGCACCTCTCTCTGCCCTAGGGAGGAGAGTGGCCTTTTAAGAATTCCTGGGTTACAATTTAGGGATGACCTAATGCTTTTTACAGCTCCCTGGGGACAAAGAGTTTGTATCATGGCAGCAGGATTTGGAGGACTCCGTAAAGCCCACACAGCAGGCCCAGCCCACTGTTATCTGCTGGTCTGAAGGGGACAAGGAGGTCTTCATCTCTGGGTCCTTCAACACTTGGAGCACCAAGATTCTACTGATTAAGAGGTGAAGACGAGTGTCTTGGTTGAGTCTACAGGGTCCAGGAGTACAAATTTTCCTACTCAGGAGAGAGACCTGGCTGGACTGCTCCTCTCCACCAACTAGGGACTCTCTCTAGGACATTTTCTGTAGCCAATGACTACATCTGTGGCTTTTTAAAAAAATCTCATAGGGAGTCAGAAATGTTTAACCAGTTAGAATGTCATTGCCTCAGAGGAACTTGTCATACAGCTTTATGGGTACATTCTTTAGGACTGTGTTACACAAGACCTGCCTATGACTGTGGGAAGTCATCTGTAACTGGCTGAGTCCACTTGTTCTGACTTCTGCACTAAAAACACAATTGATGTTCTAGGGAGTAATGTGAGCTGTTGCTTGCAGAGCAATAATGAACTACTTGGTAATCAGAATGGCCCTTTTTCAGTAGGTTATTTTTCAGACAGTGCTCACCAAAATATGGAAAATGGTACCTTGAGGCACTTCCTGTATTCTGAAGTTACCTGCTATCTTCTTTACACTTGTGAAGGATCTGTTCCTATTGAAGCAAATTAGTTGTACTAAGGTGAATCATTTTGGGGGATTAACATCTATTATTCTTTTCCAGATATTAAGAACTATTGGGAGGGGCTGGCAAATATGTGCTCAAGGTGACACAGAAAAGGAGAATGGGTCTATACATTATATTCCAGTGGGGACAATCGCCTAGGAATGTGGGAGATCACTGTTGGATGTTGTGAGTATCTCATGGTTTTTACATTGACATTCTGTCTTCTAACAGGAACTTGGCTTGTTTAACCTTCTGTTTTCTTCTGTAGCCATAATGACTTTGTTGCCATCTTAGACCTCCCTGAGAGAGAGCACCAGTACAAATTCTTCATGGATGGACAGTGGGTTCATGATCCATCAGAGGTAAGGCCTTGATCTCCAAGGGTAACCGTTAACTGAACTTTGTCCTTTTGGCTATTATTCCTCTTGATGTCAAACATCATTGTTCTCAGGATTGATGGGCTCCTACACTGGAGGGTTTCTCTCTTGATTAAAGATGGAGGTGCCCAGCATGATCATTTTTTAAAACAAGAGAGTTAGATGGAAGAGATGAATTTAAAACAGGGTATATGAATATTTTCCTTTCATTGTTTCAACCTGTGGTTACCCGTCAGCTTGCCACGATTAACAATTTGATCCATGTCAAGAATTCTCACTTTGAGGTGTTTGATGCTTTAAAGCTAGATTCAAAGGAAAGCTCAGAGACATCTTATTGAGATAATTTTGTAGTATTTGCTCTTTCTTGATGTGTTTTTCTTATAATGCATGTTTCTTCTCAAGAGTGGTTTTGTTTTTCATTTTCTCAGGAATCCTCTGAATCACATATGTGTGTGTGTCTATATGTGTGTGTGTATAGACAAACATATAGACAAACACACACACATATATGTATGTGTATATATATGTAATATATGTAAGTGTGTGTACACACACACATCATATATATAGTTAAGTCTATATATATATCTTTGTCTTCTAATCTATATCTAAATCTAATCTATATCTATATCTAAATTCTAATCTATATCTAAATCTATATCTTTGTCTTGTCTGAGAGGAAAAAAACTCAGTCTAGTGTATTTGATTTCAAAGTTTTTAACCAAGATCTACAGCAAGACATTTGTTTTACACATTGGAACCCATTCTCTCTCTTCCCATCTCTCTCCCTGTCCCCATCTCTCTCCCTCTCTGTCTCACACACACACACAAACGCACACATGCACACTGTAAAACAAGTCTCAGCAGAATGTCTGTCTTTGTTATATCTGATACACTCTATTGTCTATTTTATTCTTTCTTTCATGAGCCACTAATGGGTTATAGCCTACAGTTTAAGAAGCTGTTTTTAGCAATATTTTAAGTTTTCATGGACCTTTTGGCAGTTTCACCTAGCTGAGACTAATTCTGTCTGGTTTGCCTTGTTTAGTTGCATTAGCTTAATCCTGCCAGTTTGGTAGCTAGGCTGGGTGTTCCACAGTTTTATATGGCCCTCCAGCTATGACTGTCTCTGGGGGTAAAGGGTTACAAATCCCCCACAACTCTTTAGTGTTCATGTTAACTGAGGTTTTATAAGTTTTTGATGAAAAAAATAAATTTCCTATTACAGGAAAAGACCTCTATCCTTTTGTTTCTCCCAATCTTACTTTTTCCCATGGATTTCATCACATTTGCTACAGCATCAGAACACTGATTTGCTAACCACACTCACAGTTTCCATTTTAGTACATTACATTAAAGGCTGTAACTGTCTAAAGAATTGTGCACCCTGTTCCCAGTAAGTATACTGTTCCCGCTGGTTCTCAGTTCTGTATCTCAAAAATCAGAGGCTTCAAATCTCAGTTGATTCTCATCTGTGGAGACACAACCCAAAGTGGAATCTCAGGGCACAGAGGTGACTTATGCAGCTTCTAAAAGACCAATCAAGAGTATAGTAATTGTTTATTAAAATCATAAAAATAGTTTTCATTATACAATCCCAGTAAGTAAAGCTGAACATTCTTTTTGACTGGTGGGGCAGTGATTAACAAAGGCTTAATTATACAGAGTTAAGTGATGAGACCACTTGCAACTCTACATTTTTGGATTATGATTCTGGAGAAGCAACTGATGAGCAATAGATAGGGAATCATCATTCTGTAGAAAGAAGACTAGCACACTTTTGATATCACTCTCTTCCTCTTTCACGCAATTTCCTGATCTACTTTGTGTCTGTATGGATTTGCCTATTTGGGACCTTTTTATATAAATGGGATCATGCAGTGTGTAGTCTTTGGTGTTTGGCTTCTCTTACTTAGCACATTTTCAGGGTTCATCCATGTTGTAATATGTCTCAGTACTTCACTCCTTTTTATGGCTAAATAAAATCCCATTGTAGGGATTCATTAGCCGATGCACATTTGGATCATTTCCACTTTTTGTATGCTAAAAACAATGTTCTCAACATTTGTGCTCAAGTCTTTGTGTGTGTTATGCCCCAATAATGGGTCCGTGATTAAAGGAGTGAGACAGATACAAAGCGAAGGTCAAGCAAAGCTTTATTTCGCGCCAAGCATCAAGAATCTAACCGAACGGGGGCACCTGAGTGGCTCAGTGGGTTAAAGCCTCTGCCTTCAGCTTGGGTCATGATCTGAGGGTCCTGGGATCGAGCCCGGCATAGGGCTCTCTGCTCAGTGGGGAGCCTGCTTCCTCCTCTCTCTCTGCCTGCCTCTCTGCCTACTTGTGATCTCTGTCTGTGTGTTAAATAAATAAATTTAAAAAAAAAAAAAAGAATCTAACCGAACGTTCGGGGTCGCACCTCCTACAAGAGAGGGCGACCCTTCTCTGTTTCACAGTCTAACATTTAAGGGCAAAGGCCATGCGTTCGGGCCTGGCCACGCACAGGTGACCAATGAGATTGTTAACACACACAGGAAACTCCATAGTGATGCTAGGTGACCAATTGAGTTACAATTTATCCTAGTAGACATTTGAACCAGCCTATTACACCTTGATTGGGATTGGAGCCCAAAAGGCTCCCAAAGGGCGGGGCCCATACTCCTTGGTAACCAGGGAGACAGTATGCATCCCCCCACTGATCCGATGTCTCCACCTGGCCTGACACACCTTTATATCTGGGCTTTGTTACCTGAAGCTGGTTTCTGGGACTTGTCTCCATGTCAATCCCCTGGGGAAAGGGGAGCAGGGACAGTTTCTAAATAGGTCCTTACATTCCCCGCTTTTCTTTGGAGACTAGTCAAATCTTTGACTTTTTAGCCTATTCTATACCCTCCTTTTAACGGCTGCTAGACTGTTTTAATGACTCAAGTGTGATTTACCCAGAAACAGTATTTCTCTCCTAAGGTTATACAGAGCCCCCCTCCTCCTTTTATCAGAAACAGTAAGTTAAGCCCCCCCTTTTTTATTCACAATTGCTTATACCTCCCGCCTATATCTTAACAACAGGGCCAACAATGAATTTAATGAACTCGTTGTTTTTTGACTCTTAGTTTTAGTCCATGATCGGCGGGATCCATTGGCAGCGGCATCCACCTCTGGGCGGCATTCTCATCCTCAGCTCATTTGACGTGACCTGCGTGAATCCAGGCCCTGATTGATGCCTTCTACTTTTATTGTCATGGGGGTGGTCAGGATGACAGTAAACGGTCTCTTCCAGCGAGGCTCCAAGCCTCCCACTTGGTGGCAGCGCATCCAAACTAAGTCCCTGGGTTGGCGAGGATGTGGCTCCACTTCCATCTCCAGCCCAGTATGGGCAGTCTGGATCCCTGCATGGGCTTTTTTTAAGATAGACTGTAATGCCTTCAGTGACTGGAGTACAGACTGAGCAGTCATTTCTGCTCTAGCAACCTCTTTCTCTTTTCTCTCTTCCCATTCTAGTTCTTTCCGCATTTACCGCCTGACATTGAACACATCTATCAACCACATCTTGAGCCATACGCCCTAATTTAGAAACCTAGAACTGCTTGTCCATAAGCTCTTTAAACTTGCGTGTCCCCAAATGAGTGCCCTGATGTATTTGGCTTACTAATTTTCTTCTAGTCTTAGCCCAATCTCCTTTATAGTCTAATTTAGTCCATTCTACCATAGTGAGTCCTCCCTTAGTTCGTAGAGAGGTCGCGCCATCTCCGTGAACCACGGTATCCACAGCCTGCAGTAGCCCAATGTCCCAAGAAACTCCCTCATGGAGACCAAAGCCTAAGTAAGAGGCGTGGCTCTGACAAAGCTGTGTTTTTATTGCTGACACCTGATACCCTCTTCCCTGCAGAGTCTGTAAGAGAGCTCTCATCCCCCCACAAGCATTACCCATAGTCCTCTGCGGCTATTTCTGCTATTCCCACTAACTCAGTCAGATTCTTCCTTTCAAATCCTTCAATTTTCTGAAGTTTCCTCCTTATATCTGGGGCTGACTGACTGGCAAAAGCAAGATCATTTACACGAGTTATAGTGCAACTTCTCTGAAGTTTACCTTAAGTTGTCTAGCTTAGGTAAACAAACATTTAATAACAATCTAATCTAGAATTTGACACCCATAAAGGCAGGTTATTGAAACAATTTTTCTCTCTAAAATAACCATTTCCAGAGATAGCCAAATCAGGACCAATTCATTTGAAGAACAAGTCCAGTTTTAACAAACTTGGCCTAATTATTTACATAAGCTCAGCAAGAACAGTAAGTAATCATATAGATCTTTTAGAATCTGCTTTGCTGGAACTTCTTATAAAGAATCTCTAGGTTGAACTTTTAGTAGCCTCTCCGGGCCAGAAGCCAAGCCATGGACTTGCCATCAGACATGCCTACAGTACCTGTCGACTTGGGCAAATTCCTGTCCCTGAGGTACCCAAAGTATCTTGAGGCTCCTGCTCCTACCAGGGAGTGACATTCTTAACTCACCTGGTGAGGCTGCTGGGAACTCTGTAAGCAAGGTATCAGGCCAACACTTCCAAAGGGCTTTACAGCTCCAGGTTTTACAAAGTCAACCTTAGTTCCTTTAAGCTGGTCATATATGAGTCTTTTCAAATATGACGTTCTAGTCAAAGCCTTGGTGAAATAACCAGTGTCCAATGCTCTCCTGTTACAAGGAGAACAGATTCTTATTGAACTTATGCAAATGACTGATTGCCAAGGAAGAATACTTATTGGTTTCAGAGGGTTCAGATAGAGAGAAAAGTTGGACGCCTTGATTCGTTTACAAATGAACACCTTTACATCTCTATAAGTTACAGGTAACTTAAGAAAAAGTTTCCCTAGTTCAGGGGAGCAAACATTACAGAACCAGTCATGTTTAAAACATTAAGAGAGACAACATTACAACCTTTCAGTTCATCTAGTCCCGTTACTAATTCTGGTTTAGTCTGAATGTAGCCCTTAATTCTGTAAATCTTTACCCATTTCAGTTCCCAGGATTTTAACATATCAAAGACCTATATTTGTCCTGAAAGTCTTCCCATATGAGATTTCCTTTAAGGCCGAATTCATCTTACAAGAGAACTAAAACAATTACAAATGACAAAACTCAGAACAGATATAGTTAAATATCAAGTGATGACCCTTACCAAAACATTACAATTTTAGGAAATGTATAGAACCTCTAGAATAATTACAGCATTTACCCAAATGCAACCCAAGGTTTATCAGTAACTTAGCATATCAAGGAATCCTTATGAGCAAAAGAGATCTCATTTACAACTCTGGGCAAGCAAAGAGAAAACCATTTACATTT